TATATATATATATCTATATATATATATGTATATAATATATTACATAATTTTTTATTTTTATTTTAATTTTAATAACTCACGTTATACTTAATTATGCATTTTTATAATTTCTTACGAATTAAGTGAATGATAATTTAATAAAATAAAAACATTTTTAAAATTTTAATTAAAATATATTTTAATTTTTCACAATAAAAATATTTATTGATCTTAAGTTAAATACTCTAAATTATATATTTTAATACAATAGAAGAATGACAATATAATACTCGTATCTCTGAAAAGAGAAAAATGTAATTTATTTTATATTTTTACATAAAGGAAATGTAGTGTAATACTCACATGAAGTGTAATTTACATTTAACAATGCTAACTCGAATATACTAAGTTGTAATATATTTTAACATATAAGAGGAGACAATATAATATATACTCTTTTATTTTAGGAGAGAGTAATGTAATTACTCTTAATAGATTGTACTCTCTTTGTTAGATATAAGCAAAATAAAAAAAAATTAATATTTAACTAAAAGTTATATAACATCGTTTAATTTACTAATCACATTATAACAACTTTTTTTCTTAAACTACTCTTTTTAAATCTTTATATATAAAAAAACAAAAAAATATTAAAAATATAATTTCAATTAAATGAAAAGATATTTAAAGATGATATTATTAAATAAAGTAAAATTAGATTAAATTTACTTATATTTAAAACTAAAATAATGTTAATATAAAATATCTTTTCGTCTCACAATAACTATATTTTAAATTTTTTACAGATTAAAGACTACAATAAATGTATCATTTTTTTTATACTTCTACTAACTTAGTAAAATAATGCATTTTTTATCAATGAATGCATTACCTTTAATTATGATGGTTAAATAGTTTATATAAAAATAAATTAGAAAAAAGTTGATTAATATTACATTAAAGGAAAAAGGAAGTATTTTACACAGAATGAATTTTAAATGTAATTTTATTATATAGAGTTAATCACTTATATATTGTCAGTGTAAAGTTTTTTTACACTGTCAAATAATTATATTTCTTAATTGTGCCATGTCAGTGTTAAAAGTAAATATGTTTACAGTGACATAGCATAATTAAGAGATATAATTGGTTGCTAGTATAAAAAAATTTTATACTGACAATGTACAGGTGATTAACTCTATTATCTATAGCATTTAACAAGGTTCAATTATATGCTCGTTACAATACAATTTTCAAATTCCAACACTAACTTTTTTCAAACAGTGCTTTTACTACATTTAATAGAGGAGCACGCACCTTTGTAAATAAATCCAAACTATTCAATCAAGTTAGACATCTTAGTAAATAAATGCTATTTGAACTATTCATCGTTTTGTTTGCATCTCCATAAAATGTAGCATTTAGGAAGACTCTTTATTATACACCTTGTTCCTCATATATAGGAAAATGAATAGTGAACAACTTGACAATACATTAAAAAACTCAGCACACCTCCTTTAGGTGAGGTTATATTTGAAGCTTAATTCATATGTAAGTATCAAATATACAATATTTTCCCCTCATCTTCCTTTGTGAAAAATTACTTTATTTTTATTTTTGTTTCATTCAATCTTCATTTTCTATAAAAATATAACATTTTCTTGTTTTGCAATTGGCATTGTTGTCCGTAATAAGGAGTGAGACAACTGTGGGATATACATTTCTATTAGCATATTTGCTTGTACGTTCATCACACGTTTTTTTTTTTTTTTAATGATTTTTCATGTCAAATTGAAATTTGTAGAGAAACTATAATATAATGTGTTGTTTCAAGATTGACGTGAAAAATTATGACTAAAAACGTGACCAAATATGCGCTATATCAGTTACAACGTGTTCCATTCTCTCTGTATTTTTTTTTCTTAACATAATTTTGCATAATTTAGATTTTATTTTATGGTAGCAACATAAGAAACAAACACATCTCCATTTCTCCTATTTGTTGCAACACAGGAGAAATCTCCCCCCCCTCCCCCCCATCCCCCACTCCCTCATTTTTTTTCCTCTCCTTAGTGCACAAAATTATCTTTTTGTTAATTAAGATGAGAAAATCTTCCTTATTTTTTAGTTATGTTGTATAGACCAAGCTTTTGAATTTGATAATAGAAACACATTAATAAAAACCAGTGTGGAAAGAATTTGAATTTGATTGAGATTATTTTTTAAAGAGATATAAAAACTAAAAATTTAACTCTTCTAAAGTGAGAAAATGTATTTTAAAAAATAAAATACACTTATAATTGTTGATTATAATATTATAATTAAAATTTGTGATAAAATAAAATATAAAATTAAATATAATATATCAATGAATTCTTATTATACTTTATTTTTTAAAGGGCAATTTTCTCACTTTAAAAATGTTAAATTCAAAAATCGAAGTTATTATCAACTTATTCTCAACAATCTTCCTCATATATAGAGAAAAATTATTGTAATATTCTCTTAACATATATGACAGATATTATATAAATAGCTATATATGTTGAACTAACCTTTCATTTCTAAAAAAAAATATGTATCATAATACACTCTTTTATTATTTTTTTAATATTTTGATCTTGTATGTTTTATTTTTTATTTTTTTCATAGATTAATTTCTTTGACCCAAAAATAAGGCATAACCAAAAATTCTTACTTTATGATTTTGGAGTGTCACACTTAAAGAAAAATTATGGGGCCATACCATACCAGATGAAATCACGTAAATATTTTTTGTAATATAAAAGAGCAGAAGTTTTAAATCATGATTATTTATTTTTATTTTCGGAAAAGAATTTTAGATCTGTTAGAGACATATATAGTAAAAAGATTATAGAACCAAAATAAGAAGATACATTGATTTTTTCTTCTTCTCATTATTAAAGAGTATATTCCCTTGTAAAATATAAGGACTGATCTTAGAGTTTGAGTAGGCGAACAGCTTTTCTGCATAATACATAATTAATTTGACGTTAATTTAACTAAGGATTAAATTCAATTTTTGGAACGACAAAAATAAATATTCTCTGAAAAGAAAAAAAAAAATAACGGGAGTGGATCTTTTCCCTTGGATTTTCACTTAGATTTTATTCTCCCAAAATCTGCAGCACGAAAACTTGATATTATTAACTTTTTTCCATTATTTAATTATTCTCTTATGGTTAATTAAACGCGGAGATTTGAGCGTAAATAAGAGAATCCAAACCCTGACTCGGTTGAGTTAGATAGAGTCCACTAACACGAAGCAGTAATTTATTTAATTATTTAAATTCCTTTGGGTTGTAGTAGTAGTAGTAGTTAAAGAGAAATGGAGGAAGCGAATCCGAACTTGTTGATTTCGAAGTTGAGCGAGGAAGTGAGCGGTCACGTGCAGGTGGTATGGGAAATGGTGAAGGTGCCGTTGGTGGTGCCTCTGTTGAAGCTTTGGGTGTACGTGTGCATGGGAATGGCCATCATGCTCTTCGTGGAGAGGGTGTACATGGGCGTCGTAATCGTGCTCGTCAAACTCTTCTGGAAGAAACCCGAACACCGTTACAACTACAACCCCCTCCAAGACGACGTCGAATCGGGCTCCTCCAATTACCCCATCGTTCTCATCCAAATCCCAATGTTCAACGAAAAAGAGGTCACACTCACACCTACATATAACAATAATAATAATTCTGTGTTTCTCTTTGTTGCTTCGCTTCTGGGCTAATCATTGTTTGTGGGCCAGGTTTACAAGGTGTCCATTGGAGCAGCTTGTGGGCTTTCGTGGCCCACTGACCGTCTCGTTATCCAAGTCCTCGACGATTCTACTGATCCTGTCGTTAAGGTAAATGAAATGGTTTTATTTACTTTCGGTTTAGTGTTAATTAAGTAGTAGTAATAAGTAATAATAATTAGTGAATGGGATTTGATTGCAGGAAATGGTGGAGCGAGAGTGTGAGAGATGGGCGAGTAAAGGCATAAACATAACGTACCAGGTAAGGGAGAACAGAACGGGGTACAAAGCGGGTGCGTTGAAAGAAGGATTGAAACGAAGCTATGTGAAGCAATGCGAGTACGTGGCCATTTTCGATGCCGATTTCAGGCCCGACCCAAACTTCCTCAGGCGAGGCATTCCCTTCTTGGAGGGTAACCCTCAGATTGCTCTCGTTCAAGGTCGTTGGAGATTTGGTCAGTCACTCCATTACTACTCTTTAATTTCTATATATCGTAAGACTACGTTTGGTTTCAGCTCAAACAAGGCAAACTTCCCAACATTTGGAAACTTTCCTCCCACGTATTTCTCCATTTAGTTAGCTAGGAATGTGCTACCAATAAAATAAAGACACACTTAATGTTTGGACTTCAAATAAATTTGATATCATTAAGATATATTAATTAATAAGAAAACAAAATAGTTTTTATTTTCAAAAGGGCTAGTTTTGTCATTTTGAGTGGAAGGTTTGCAACATTGCCAATTTGCTTTATTTGGAAGATTTGTAGCCTTGTAGGATGAATCAATGAATTTTTTCTTGAACGGAAGATATTAAATATTTGACATAAGTACATAATAGCTACTGCTATTTTGTATGAAAGGATTGGTAAAAAAAAGTCAAATAACTTGTTTGACCAATCACAATGTATACGGCTACAATATAGAGTTATCGTTAAAAAAAAAAAATAAAAAATAAAAACTCATTTTCAATTACACGTGAATTCGTTGATTACGTCATTTTTTGTACTAGTCTTTTTGTATATTGACAAGGAAGAAGTACTAATCGTAGGTCGTACCATGTGGCTATGGTTCTCGACACTTAACCTGTCATCCTTCTTTCAGTTCTTTGCATCCACTACGTGACATATTTCTGATTGAGTCACGTGAGGACAACATAACTAATGTGTTTTTAATATACTTTTAGGAAGGATTGTGTTTTCCTCACATATATATATTTTTAATTGTGACCATTTTATACTTATTTAATAATTGGAAAATGATGCTTGAAGAATCCATGCTATAAACAAAAAGAAAGAAGAGAAATATGATGTTTAAAAAATGTAATATCGGTATCAAATGAGGGTTTGTATTGTTTGAGGGTTTAAAAAATGTTTCACATGCTTTGGTTAGACTATACATTTGGAGACTTTAAATTAAGCACTTAAAATTCTACATCATTTTTTTCTTAACCCTTTGAGCATTATAAAAACTATTAAAATTTGATCATGGTGTGGTTGATTTGTGACAGTTAATGCAGATGAGTGCTTGTTGACAAGAATGCAAGAGATGTCACTGGATTATCATTTCACAGTAGAGCAAGAAGTTGGGTCAGCCACTCATGCTTTCTTTGGTTTCAATGGTAATTCTTTTCGCACAACCTTCCAAACATGTTGACCTGTAGCACCCATGAGATAACAAGATAATGCAGCATGCATATCGTACTCACTGATCATTAACACCATTGCTGTTCCATGCATAACCTTAATTCAGGGACAGCGGGTATATGGAGAATTGCTGCTATTGACGAAGCTGGTGGGTGGAAAGATAGAACAACGGTGGAGGACATGGATCTCGCTGTTCGTGCCAGTCTTAGGGGCTGGAAATTTGTTTACCTTGGAGACCTCCAGGTATACATTCTTTTATACCCAAGCACCCTTATTAATTAATTCCAATCAATTTTATATACACACATATACATATATATATATATGATACATGGTTGTCCTTGATGTGCAAGTGTGCCTCAAATGAGGATCTCACATTAGATCCGGATAAATGTGTTGAGTAACATAAAAGTGATAAGAAGTTACAAACATCATGTCTTAAGATTGTTTGGATTAAGATATGGCGTTGAGTCCCCATTACGAGGTTTGCATATAAGTCATTGATGAAGTACTTCTCTCCTATATTTAATCCCCTCGTATTCATGTTTACAATTTGTTTTAGTAATGGTGTGTGTTTCTCATTAGTCATTTACAAAAACCGATGTATAGGCAAAAAGTGAGCTTCCCAGTACTCTTAGAGCCTTCCGCTTCCAGCAGCATCGATGGTCTTGTGGTCCTGCTAATCTATTCCGCAAAATGGTGATGGAGATAGCAAGGAACAAGGTTAGCTTTTATAATGCATGATATACTACTTCAAATTGAAAGGGAAAAGGAGTGTGAAAAACTAAAAGAAAGGAATTTCCTGACTTTTCATGTTTAATTTTTGCAGAACGTAAACTTTTGGAAGAAAGTTTATGTTATATACAGCTTCTTCTTAGTTCGAAAAATCGTAGCCCACATGGTCACCTTCATCTTCTACTGTGTCGTTCTTCCCTTAACAATTTTGGTCCCTGAGGTGCATGTTCCAATATGGGCTGCTGTTTATATTCCTTCCATCATCACCACCCTCAATTCAGTTGGAACTCCAAGGTGTGATTTGATCTTTCTGTATTTGCCATATTATACATCTTGGTTGTACCCCTTCATTTGTTCTAAATGCTACTTGATTTGAAACTTTGACAGGTCCATTCACCTGTTGTTCTACTGGATCCTCTTTGAGAATGTGATGTCATTGCACCGTACAAAGGCAACCTTGATCGGTCTGCTAGAAGCCGGGAGCGCCAATGAGTGGATCGTTACTGAAAAACTTGGCGACTCTGTCAATAATAGTAAGACCAAGAACAAGACCAATTTCATCAAAGCAATCAGAAAAACTCGATCCAAATTTGGTGAAAGGTCATTTTTCTTTTCAAACATGATAATTCATAATTCTATCTTTAATTGGCGTTATAATTTCAACTTCTCAATCACTTTGCTTAGTGTATCTGTCTCCCACTTTTGTCTCTTGTTTGGAAGTTCGGATTTACTCTCTGGCACTATGAAGGGGACAGGTTCTAGATGGCCACTCAAATAAGTTATTGAATACGAAATATGTCATTCTTTCCACTTATAGTATGACTAATTTCTTTTTAGCTTTATCGTAGTGATCAAGATTTCAAGATTCTTTGAGTAGGTTAATTATTGATTTATGTTTCTGTCACTTGCACATCACATAATATTTTAGAAGATCATGTGATTAAGTTATTAATAGCGAAGACCAAATTTTATGGCAGAAAGTTAGAAATGAGGAAATGCCAGGATAAAGTTTATTGTATTAGGATTCTAAGTTCTGACGAACATAACCACTGTTTTCTGTATTTAATACTCCCAATATATTCAGATGCAATTGATAAAGAAAAAAAAATCCTTTATCTGGTTTTGTTTGGCTGATGTGTAAGTTTTCTGTTACTTGTTGTTGAACATGAACAGACTTAATCTATTGGAGCTTGGATTTGCTGCCTTCCTCTTCCTCTGTGGATGCTATGACTTCATGTACGGCAAGAACAACTACTTTGTGTACCTCTTCCTTCAGACCATAACCTTCTTAGTCGTAGGATTTGGCTATATTGGCACCATTGTCTAGTACTTGTTGTGACAAAATCTTCAGCGATTTAAGTTTCAGACTGTTGAGTACATAACTAGTTTCTCTTCTCAATAAAATTTATTAAGATTTCTTCAAGCAATATAGTGTTGTTCCAAATCTAGAACAACTTAGAGCAGATTATTTTCATGTTGAGGATAAATGTATGATATGTAATTTGCATTGTTCTCCTTTAATCATAACCCAATCACAACCTTTACAACTTTAAGTATGCTGATATTCTTTGGTGGCAAAGTACCATTAGTTGTTATAACGTTTTATGAGAACATTTTATGTTTTTTTTATACCCGCTACACTCCTTTTTACTTGTCATAATTTCGGAACATTTTTTTCCTATTTAGATGTCATTTTTAAATTTCACCATAACCTTAATTACTCTCTTACCAATTATACCCTTCTCATATTTATTAAGAAAGTTAAAATATAAAAATTAATATAAGTTTATTATAGAGTTGAAATATAAAGGATCAAATTGAAAATTTGATAACTATTTTATTAAGATAAAAAAATATTATTTTCTTGATTTCTGCGCATAAATCTTCAAAGACAAACAAAAATAAATGGAAGTAGTGACGTTTTTAATCACGTTTTTTTTTTCTTTCTATAGCTTAATGTCCAATACATATTTACAATTTTTACATATATCTTATTTTCATTGTCTCTATTTCTATTCTCTTTTCTCGCATAAACTTTAAAAAATATATTTTGTAATTTATTTTTTACTGTCTACATATTTTTAAGCGCAATGTTATATACTTTATATCAAACACATATATCTTTCATTAGACTTTATTCAACATTATTTTACAATTAATTATTGAACACATATCTTTTGTTAAGTTTTATTAAACATTTTTATATTACAATTCATTAGTGATTTATCCCTTAATCAAATTATTTAAAATTCAAATTTTGGTTTAAGTCACTGTTTTTGATAATAAAATTTCTGTACTAATGTCGTAGTTACGTAAAAAGAATGTTACAATTCATTTATTTACTATACATCATTCTCAAAAAAAAAAATATTTATACCTTTTGATTTTAATCAAATTACATATAGTTTCTAATTTAATTAATCATTATAATTTACACTCGATATAAAAAGCTCTATACAATATATGAATAAAAAAATATCTCTCTATTCTATTTCATTTCATGTTTTAGTAAAAAAAAAGTGTTATTTTATTTTAATATTTATTTTTCAATATTAATCAAACATTAAATATAATTTTTTCTATAATAATTTTAACTATTTATTATGGAGTTAAAAAATATAAAAAGATAAAAGATAAAAAAAAAATCTAATTAAAATGAAAAATAAAAAATATTAAAAATTTCAAAATAGATTTTATGAAATATAAGATATTAATTATGTTGATGAATACTGTACAAAAAACTTTTAACATCAAACAATTAAAATAATTTAAGTGAAGAATAGAGTCAAAACATTTTAATTCAGAAATGAATTAATAGAGAATAAAAAATCACATATTTTCATCCTATCTATTTATAATATATATATATATATATAAAGGAACAATTTCTACTGTACCTTTTTTGTTCCGATAATTTTCTTCAATAAATTTTTATATGTAAATTTTATAAATTAAAATTAAAATTCTATTAATTATATAATATAATAAATCATTAATATAAGAAAATATAACAACATCATAAAATATCAATTGCATTAATTTTAAATTATTATAGTTTTAAAATAAAAATATTTGTGGACATTTATATGAATATATTTTGATATAAATATAATAGATAATTATATCATCTTTTAAAATTTTAAAAAATAATAAATTTATTATCAACACACAAAAAAATAATAATAAAATTACGAGACACAGATGATGCAACTAGTTAACTAAACTGGTAGAACCTGGGAGTTTGGAAGCCACTGAAAGTCACGTGCAGAAGAACTTAACCTTTTGGGCAAATCAACCAATTATCCATATGGAATTAATTTACATAATAGAAAGACCGTACCCGTCCCTGCACTATAAGTCTATAAATTCCCAATTCCTGAAACCCTAGGCAAGGAAGAGAAATGAAATGGAGTTGCGGCGTCGTCTCTCACTGTAACTTGTAATTCGTAATCGTAAGTCTCTCTCTCTCTCTCTCTTCTCTTGCACTCTCAATTGCTCATAGATAGATGAATCATCCCAATGACGAAAATTTTAGTAATCTGAAGGGGGCGTGGCGTTGAAAATCAAGAGTGGGACTCCCTTGTTGCTACAAAGGTTGAGAAACTCCTTTCATTTTCATGCCATGCCTACTCCCTAGTCGATACTTGGCATTCCGAGGGATTTCCTTTCCAACCCTACTTTACAACAACTAACTCAAACAAAAATAATCATTCCTCCTTCAAATGCCTTTCTTTATTATTAATCAACACTAATTTATTAATACTTTCTTTATTATTAATCAAATTTTATTTAAAATTGTAAATTTTGTGAGTCGCATTTTATTTATCAAGTCTTTTCTAATTTTATGATTCGGTTCATCAAAATTTGTAATTTTTAATTAATAATAAAAAAAAAGTATTAAGAAGAGAATATTAGAGTGAATGTCGTCGATTCTTCTCAAATATTTAAGTGAACATTTTGAAAATAAAAAAATCAAACAAATCAACTTTTGTAATTATAATCCAACGCAAATCAACCTATTTTAAAATTTAATTTCTTTAAGCCTAGACATTCATATACTTGTCACACATTTTTCAAATGACTAGTAAAAAACACTTGAAGCAAATTAAAGTTTAATTCAATATTTGTTGTCTCGCTTTCTTTTAGAAATTTTTAGCTAGGTCTCCAAACTAAAAATTTACAATTAGATCCTTCATTTTTTAATTTTTGCAATTTGGTTTTTAGAGTTATTTTTGTAAAGTATTTTTATAAATGTGAATAATGACACTAAATTAAAAAAGAAAAATGATGGAACTATTTACGAATTATTTTAATTTAAAACCTAATTTAAAAAATCTTGAAAAGTTTTGAGACCAAATAATGTATTAAACCTAGAATGAAAATGCATATGAATAATTTTACATAATTTTTCCAACAACAATTATTTTAGAAAAATTTGCAATGACCTAATCTTTTTAAATTATATTTTTAGTTTTTCAAGTAAGTACTAACATCTTTTGTTTATTATTTAAGTGACACTCTTATATAAAATAACATCATATATATATTATTAAAAGATAACATATTAATGTAAGTGTCAATAATTTAATGAGACTTGATATCTTAATTAATTTTAACTTATAAATTATATCTTAATTATAATGATTACTATGGTTTAAAAAATATACAACTTTAAGGAATAATTTTAAAAAATGAGCTAATAAATCTTTTTTTTGTTAAATTAAAGAATAATGAAAATTTTCATTAAAAAAACATAAAATTGTAAGTGATTCATAAATGAATAATAGACTGTGTATATGATTGTAAAATTGAATTTTTTATTTATTTTTATTTCTCTGACTTTAATTAATGAACTTATTTTAAGGAAGATGAAGGATTTTTAAAAATAAAATAAAAGATTTGTATCATTTAAATATATTTCAAAAAAGTTAAATAGAATTTTTTAATTATTTTAAGTAATCAATAGTATAAAATTTTCATCTTCATAAAAATAAAAAAAAATAAAAAAACCTCAAAACACTGCATTAGAAATAAACATTTAAATAAAAATAATAGCATATATTTTCAGGCTTATTAAGGACAAAAGTGCTGGCTGTGGGGTTCGAACCCACGCGCACTTATGTGCAGAAGATCTTAAGTCTTCCCCCTTAACCTCTCGGGCAAACCAGCTAACTGTTGTCATTTTGAAAGGTATTACTATAAATATAGGTCCCCAATAGTACTAGCAACATCAGAAGTCTCTAGAAATCAGAAAGAGCATAACCCTGAGCCTGAGGCTGAGCGTAGAAATCCGGAATTTGGGAAACCCTAAGGAGAGGTGGAAGAAGAGAAGTGAGATCACATCAATGGCGGAGCACTTGGCATCGATATTCGGGACAGAGAAGGACCGTGTGAATTGCCCGTTCTACTTCAAGATCGGCGCCTGCAGGCACGGCGATCGGTGCTCGCGTCTGCACACGAAGCCCAGCATAAGCCCAACGATTCTTCTGTCCAACATGTACCAGCGCCCCGACATGATAACCCCCGGCGTCGACGCCCACGGCCTCCCCATCGACCCCCGCAAGATCCAGGACCACTTCGAGGAGTTCTACGAAGACCTCTTCGACGAGCTCTCCAAGTACGGCGAAATCGAAAGCCTCAACGTCTGCGATAACCTCGCCGACCACATGGTCCTTTTCCCTAACCCTAACCTCTTTTTTCAATTCGTTTTTGCCTCCTTTTAAACGCCGTCGTTTTGCAGGTTGGGAATGTCTACGTTCAGTTCAGAGAGGAGGAGCATGCCGCTAATGCTGTTAGGAACCTCACTGGGAGGTTTTATGCCGGTTAGTTGTCTTCTTTGCTTGTTTCTTATGCGAATTTAATTGTTTCATAATCGATGACAAGAGAAAGTCGACAAGTAGAGATGGCAGCCATGTCCCTTAAGCTCTTTGGCTGTGTGTATGAAAGAGTATTCGTTAGGAGAAGTCAGTTCCTTAGACGAATCTTGGTGTGCAAGGAATGGTATCTGTTAGGAGAACTCAGAGCCTTTGATGAATCTCAGTATTTCAAAAGATTGGTCCTTGGCTTCTGGCTGGGATATTCTTGGGTTCATCCAGAGAGATGGGTAGGAGGTTGATGAATGGCAAAATTCTGTGCTTGTATTATCTGCTGAGCTGTGATGTTGAATCATTTTGAAGATTGAACACTGAATGTTGGTTTGTATGCTTTCAGGTCGGCCAATTATTGTGGATTTCTCACCCGTCACAGATTTTCGAGAAGCTACATGCAGGCAGTACGAGGAGAATACTTGCAACCGCGGTGGTTATTGCAACTTCATGCATTTGAAAAGAATTAGCAGGTAAGGTGGTGGTTTATTCAACTCATTCAGTTTTGGACTTGATTAATTCCACAAGGTTGAACTAAACATGTGAAGTACACTATAAAACTTAAAGCATAAATTTGTGTAATCAATGTAATGTGCAGGGAATTGAGGCGTCAGTTGTTTGGGAAGTATCATGGAAGGCGCAGCAGAAGCAGGAGCAGGAGTCCTTACAGGCATCGGAGCCATGAGGATCGGTCTCACCGCAGTCATAGCAGAAAGTATGATGACAGGGACCATCATCATGAGAGTCGAAGTAAGAGACGCAGGAGCTCAAGTCCTGGACGTAGGAGAGGACGAAGTCCTGGAGGAAGGAGGAACCATAGTCCGGTCAGAGATGGCAGTGAGGAGAGGCGTGCTAGAATTGAGCAGTGGAATAGGGAGAGGGAAGAGCAAGAACCTGGAAATAAGTCTAATGCTGAGGAAATCAACAATGGTGACAGCGGTAACACACAAAAAGCTAGCAAATTTCATGGGCATCAGCAGCAAGCACAGGAACAGCAGCCTTCTCATGAGGAATATTGATCTGTTTATTTGTTATGGTTTGTGTTCTCTCCCTTTTGTTTGCCTATTCATTTAGACCTCGGCAAGATATTTTATTCTAGCATAGACCACCCACAGCATAAATACAGCTCACCACCCATTTTCCACTGTGCAGGTGGTGCAGGTGCACTGCTCTAAGATATGGAATGTGTTTCCTTCTTTCTCCCTCCCCCCCTTATCATTTGGGATTTTTCTATTTATTTTTATCAATGATGTTTGGTTGTTTGTGTGCGGATGCTTGTGCTAATTATGCCGAATTATTTCACTGCTTTGAACCAGTTTTTGACACTCTTCGATGCTAGTTTTGTTGTGTATACACTCTCTAGTGTGATAGAATGTATTAAAAATGCTGAGCAGCTGACCCTTTTTTGTTTTCTACTGTGTATGAAGTTCAGCTTAAAATGTGTAAAGATGTTTTTTTTTCCTGCTCTGTGCTGTTCCTATATGTTTCTAATAATCCTCTAGCCAAGAATTCTTGTAGGTTCTATCTTTCAAAATATTTCTTTTTTGTTGTCATTTTCTGTTGATTACTTCAAAGGTGGTGTCAGTATTTTGCACTTCCCTGTCGTTGTCAGATTGCCAAATAGCCTTACGACATCCTTGCTGTGTAGTCCTTAGAAAAATAGCCTCCTCTCTGATGATTAGAGGCTCGTAAATTTTTTTCCATGACCTTAACAGGGGTGTCCCTTTTCACAATTGGCTAATTATTAACATTCAATGGGTCTTGCATGCTTGTTGCTGTGCTTGATTTGCAGTTGGTGAATGTATGCATTATTTTACAGTCAGGTACACTGATCACCGTCATACACGAAGACTAATGAACGACAAGTTGCAACACTTTTTATAGGGGTTTTTGTTTTCAATGAGCTCTGTTCTATAATCCCTTTTGGAATTTGAAATAGCATAATCTTACGTTGTAATGAGTTTTGCAGGTTCAGGTTTCCCTGCTTCTAAGAAACGAGCCCTTTAGTTAATTGCAGTTTACCGTGGAATTTGTGTACAGGTTCATGGTACGCTCTTGGAGGATGTTTTAACGGATCTTTCAGGTTTTGTTTGGGATTCAACTTCCAAGCAACCAATCGTGTAGGAGAAGCCTTTTCTTGCATTTGCAGGCAGAAGAAGGTGGCTTTCTTTTTTTCTTTTTCCTTTTCCATATATTAGGATGTATTGTTAGTGAGTAAGCTTTACATGTTTATTGGCAACCGACCTTCAAACCTAGTTATTCGCGCGCTTGTAAAATTGTTATTGATGATGCACCTTTCTGATCGCTTAAATTATCGTCCTGTTTGTATTTTCTTTACGCTGCGTTTGGATATCACCAGTGGGAGAGGTAGCTACATTTTTTTTGGCTTTTTGATCATTGTGGGGTGTTTTCTCGAACTAATTACTTAAATGTGACTGGTTTGAAATTATTTATAGCTTTCGGACTGCTTGTTATAATATTGTTATTGGCCATATCGATTCAAGTGACATAGGATAATTATTGTTTTAATCAATTTTATTTTAATTGGTGGAGCTGTTTTCGTCGTCTTGAATTGTTATAGTTGGTATTGACTTCACTAGTATTATTATTGACTATAATGAATTGTTAAACGGTGTCATGCGTTGATAAAATAATTTTTTTAATATTTATTCTGTGTTACTATGATTTATAGTAACACTTTTTTTAAAAAAAAAAATTAACACGTATTCCAGTTAAGGCATATATGTGGTGCTACGGCCCATAGAGATTTGAAGTTATGTGTCAAAGCTGGACTTTTTTTTTTTAACACGTGATTCGTTCCAGAAGAGTTACATGTGGCCACAATGTGTGGCGTTATTTCTATAGGCCATAGCTCTACTTTCAAGAAAAACCCTAAATTTTTTATTATTTTTAAAAAAATTATATTTATCAGATTAATTATTATAATTGTTATTTAGTTATTTATTTATATTATATAATTTTTTTAAAAATAAATCCTGGTAACAATTTTTTTAGAAAATATCTATAACTTGTTTTAAATTATTTGTTTCTGATAATAATTTATTGATACTATTACAAAAAAATTTACAAGAAAAATTCTTATTATTTATTTTTAAAAAATAATATTTATCAGTTTAATTATTAAAATTGAATTATTACCGACTATAGTGACTTTTTCTTTATGACTTGTTAGAAAAAAATTGTCATGTGTCACTTAGATTACTGTGGGTCATAACTTAAGACATTGTTGTAAATAACTTTAAAGTCATAAAAATAGTTTGAAAAGAACTCTATTTGCACACAATGTTTGACAAACAAGCCAATTTTTTTTGGGTAGTGGGGTAGGACTACAAAAACATGACCTTTTCAATTAAATATTCACATAACGTAAAATAATAAACATTTATAGTTATAGTTATATATTTAAATCTGTATGCAACTTAAATTGAGGAAAGTTGAGGTTTCCATTGTTAAAGAGGTTAGCCCAGTATTTACTGCACAGGAGCATGAAAGGAAATGGTTCAATTCATCTATATAATTCTCTGTAGTAAAAAAAAAAAAAAGTTAAAACAGCTTGGGTGACTATTAAGAATACGTAGGAAATCTTAAGAACAAAAAGAAAAGATTTTTTTGTTGTTGTTAGTATCGTAATAAAGTTATCTCAAACATTTTAAGTATTTACTCACTAAAGTAAAAATTACGGAAAATCTAATATAAATAACACTATTAACGTCTTAAAATTAAATTATAAACTAAAATTTGAAGTGGGGTAATAATATTATTAAAATTAATAGAGATAATTTTTGAAATCGTACATTATCAATCAATATAATCTCAATTATAATAAATGGTTAAATTGGCCTCATAAAATATTAAGTCAGTTAAAGAAATTGTAAATGATCTATTATTTTATTTTCTATATTGATTTGGTTAAATTGGTATTTAATGTTTTAAAAAATTATTTATACTCCTATCATTGGTCCAACTTTGAAGATTTTGCAAATTATGTATCGAAAGTTTGTTTGTCACATTTTAACCTTAAATTTAAATAAATTTTTAATCAATAAGGTTGGCTTAGAGGTTAAATGCTAGAATAATGTGTAAAATATTTTAAGTTTATAGGTCCAATTTTCGTTGTCACTAATTTTTCAACGGATTAAAAAAATCATATAATTTCTAAAATTTTATCCAAACTTTAAAACTATCCAAAATTTTGCTCCCATTCAAAATTTAACATGTAAAATTTAAATTTTCTCGAAAATAATATAATTTCTCGAAATTTATCCAAACTTTAAAACTATAAAAAAAATTTGGTTCTTTTAAAAATTTAACAAGTTTTTTCCTTATACATGTAATTATTTTTTAAAAAATAATTAAAGTGTTGAATATGAGATTCCTTTTCTATAAGAGTAAAAATAAGTTAAATAACTTATCAAGAACTTTCACTTGCAAAGGCTCTCAATAAATATTAGTTAATAGTCACTATTTTTTGTGATTGATACTTTATATCAAAATCATAATTGTCCCAAAAAATATATATTATGTATAAGTACATTTTGTACTTTACTGAGTATGATTTAATAAAAACTTTGTTTTGCTCTTAAAAAAAATTAACAAGAATATTATGATTTGATTAAAGCTTAACCTAGTCAAGTCAATTAAATGTAAAGGCAAGTTAAAATAGTATCAATCGAATTTAAATATAACTAGATAGTATCAAAAATTAGATAAACATATGTATGTGGTTCAAGAATTCTTACTCTATGTATTAGAAAATTATATATCTCAACAAGTTTGAGGAACATTGGTGCAATTTTAAACAGTGCTATATTCGTGTAAAGTTTTGTGTATTTGATTATGTATGAGATAAACTCATAATTTAGTGGAATTTTTAATAAAGAATTAAATTTAGAATTTGAATAAAATTTTAAAATTATTTGATGTCATAAATAAATACAATTCAATATGTAACATTAGTAATAATAAAGTTAAATATTTATTGTTGGTGTAAAAGATTTAACACTATTGACTATTTTAAAAAAATTGTGATATTTAAAGTGATTATTATTAAAGTCAAAATCATTGGATGACAACGTTTAACACCGTCAATAAATATCTTTTTATTTACTCTATAGTAACATTCTATGAAAAATATAAATATCTATTATAAATTTGATTGATGGTATTAACAATTTTCAAAAAGACAATAAAATTAGAGTTGAATTATAATATAAATTTACCTAAAGATGTTAAAATAAGGCTAATTATAAAAATTTGACCAGGTATGATTGACAATAAATAATGAAAAAAAAAACTAAAAAGAATGAGAAAGAACTACTACATCAAAAAAATATAGATTTGCTATTAATTATGTTGATTATAATTAGAATCATAAGTAATATTATCTTAGTACTTGTTTATAAGAAATATAGATTTGCTGTTAATTATGTTAATTGGATTCTTATGATATTCTTAATTTATTATAACTAATAGGGATGACAATGGAGATTCGTGGGATGGGTAGTAAAATATTCATAATTGTCTTATCAGTTAAAAATCTTTTTCATACTCGCCTCATACCTGTTTAGATATCTATTAAGTATATATATGTAAATTTTATAAATACTTGTATCTATGAATATTTATAAATTTTATAAAAATAAAAAAAATATTATATTATAAATAATTTTAAGCTTATATTTGATGTTAAGTATATTAAAATATTAAAAATAAATAATTGATATTGATTTTTTGAGCTTGTAATTAACGATATATTTTTTAAATATTAAAAATAATACAAAAATGTAAGATAAAAATATAAATATTTAAATAATATTATTTAGTGGATATCCAATGATATGGATACTATCATATTCGCCACCGTCCCATTTATAAACAAATAAAAAATATTTGTATATGTTACTTGCAGATATTCATTTAAATTATCTATTTATTATCTATGATAGATTTTATCTATGGATACCTACCGGATAACTTTGCCATCTCTAATTATTAATGATTTATTCACTCATTTCTCATGAAAAATACATTTATTGCATCACTAATAAATCACTTATTGTATACTTCTTCTTTTTTTATTTATTATAAGAAAAAATATATTTTTTAAATATATGTAAATTTTAATTACTCTTATCTAATTTAATTATACTCCCCCTAAAATATCTATCCTTTAAAGTATAACTTTTCAGTTACAATAAATAAATATATATACATATATATATATATTACATTTATAACAAATATAATTTAAGAAAAATATTATAAAATTATTAAAATTTAATATAAATAATTAATTTTCTTAATATGTGCAAATCAAATTTTTTTCCCGTATAATAGATAAAGAGAAAGGGAATATATGTTTAGAGACATTAAATAAAGTTAAATCACCTATACACAGTCAGTGTAGAGTTTTTTTACATTAGCAACTAATTATATCTTTTAATAATATCATATCAGTTGCTTATTTAATGAAATAAAAATAAAATAAAATAATTTAAAAGATATAATTAGTCGTCAATGTAAAAAACTTTACACTGTCAGTATATGGATAATTAACTCTTAAATATAATACTAATAGTACATTTATTGCATCACTTTTACAATATAATTATAAGTAATTTTGAAAAAAAATATGCCAGCTAATTAACATTTTCTCTAGATTTATTGTTAACTAATACCATACTTATATTTATATAGGTAAATTTCAACTAATGTTAACAATAACGCTAGAGAAGATGTTGCCATCTAACTAGCCTACCTTGTTAATTTTTTAAGAGTCACAAATTTTATGATTTTGTATTTCATTATGGTAATAAAAAAATATTAATGAGAATATCATCAATTTTTGTCAATATTAAAATTATGACTTTAATTAAAATTAACTAATTTAATTACTTTTACTAACTTTAATAATTATATATTTGTTTCTGTACAAGACTGAAAATAAATTATGCATGTTTACTATTTTTTACCTATTTTTATTACCTATATTTCTCATTCCCGATTGCCCTCATTCTATTTCAACATATTTCTTTCACGAGACACCAAACAAGACCCTTACCACCACAACTATCAACAGTAATGAAAATGCACTCACATAAATGATCACTTTTCTTTAAGCATTGATAATAAAAAAAGTATGTTAAGATGTTATGTCAAGAACGTGACATTAAAATTTTCCCAATTAAAATTCTATCATTGACAAAATTGCCAAGATTTGCCACCTTTTCAGCTGATAGTCCATGTAAAACGACATTTACTGAGCATAAAAATTGAAATGCACAATTTATATAGGAGAACCGCCTCAAGTAAATGTGATTCTAAAATGATTTTTTTAAACGCAATGTTCTATTTTACATCGTACAAAATTTGAAAAATAATAAAGTAGCCATCAATATTTAAAAAACTTCAAGCAAAATAGAAAAACCAACTCAATTATTAATTAAACATTTCGAAATTCAAATTTGAACTGATGAAATTAAACTACCAAAACAAATATTTGAAATAAAGCTACTTATATTCAAGGATTCATAGTAAATCAGTAACCCGTATTCCATCGCTGGCATAAATTTAAAACTAGGGGGAAAAAAAGTGGCAGAAGATCTAAACGCAATAATTTTAGGCAATAATTAAAGTAGCCATTAAAGATGAAACAAAACTTGCGAACACGGTACCACGGTTTACCAGGCCAAAAACAAGGACAGATGCCTAACGTCCTTAAGATACTCACTCTTCTACTACATAATAAACCATCAAATATTACATGAATCAGTCATCCAACTGCAAAAACATCACTGACCACCATGCTTTGCCTTGCTATGTTGTTGCAGACCACTTTCAGAGGTGAAAGTCCTGTTAAAAAAGATTAAATAAAATCAGTCATGAACCAAATAAGCAGAACTAAGTTTCGGGTTTTGTTATAAATCATACTTGCTACAGCTTTTGCAAGAGAGACCACCAGACTTGGGAGACTTGTCCTTAGCTCCACTGTTGGGAGTCTTTCCCCCTTTCTTCACGGGGTGTGGAGTTGCTTGATGTCCACCTTTCTTGCCATCTAACACTCAACATAAAGAATAGTTAACAAGTTAAAGACAAGTTAACAAACTCCAATTTAAGAATCTACGGGACAATCAACCACTGCGGTATGCAAATGTAAAAATGCATTCACTAACAAAATGCAGAGGCATGCTAACATTTATAATGATTTAGCAGTAAACCAAGCAACTATATACCAACCAAACTTATCCAATTACACACCAACAAAATCAGAACTAAGGTCACCAGAGATATAATTAGTCTCACCAGTCTTCTCAGGAGTTGCATTTTTAGCTTTCTTGGAAACAGGAGTTTTTGATGCAGACTCATTGGGTCTCTTCTTCCCCAGATCAACCTTCAAATTATAAAAAAGTCAAGTTACCTCATCACTGCAACCATAATCATCATCAAAATAATATACACAATAACGGTATTCCATTGATCCAGTACCTTCTTAGGTGTCTCTTCATCATCATCTTCATCACTATCACTTTCTTCATCACTATCACCATCAGCATCCCCCATCTAAAACAATCAACAATGAAAAGTTACAATAATGATCAACAAGTTAATGAGTTTTTTTTTATATATATATTATGCAGTCATGTTAATGTGTAGGTTACAAATTGTTTCTAGTTGGCATGAATGTAATTAAGGGGAGATTGATAATGTTCACTGAACTAGCTTCTACCAGAAGATGCTTGTTCTTTACAGAGCTAATTTCTTTTTTCTGAATGCCAATGTATATTATATCTGGTATTTCTCAATGAATAGATTCATAAGCCACACTTAGAAGATAGCTCTAGATTTGATTAATTCCTCAAATGCAAATGTTGGGTGTATTTCAAAAAGTACACCAGGGCATGAAGCTAGGACTGGAATAATTCATGCAATTTGAAAGTTTTAATTTAAACCCCATTGCACTCCACAACATCAGAACACGAAGCAAAAGAAAGATGAACCAGTTACAATATTTATAAAACAAAATAGTTAGCTTGCAATTCATACATTTTTTTAGTCTATCATTATAAGAGAGAAAGATGGACCAACTACTACACGAAAACAACAAAATAATTAGTTTGTGTTACCAGCAATTTTGTAGAATGTCACATGCACCAAAAAAAAAAGACATTCTCTTTACTGAAGACCAAAAGAATATTTTACCTATAGCGTGAATGATCTTTACTAAATACAAACGACCACAACATGTTTAACAAAATCTTGTCATTTATACATTTTTTTATATTTGACTAATGGGCATTGTAAACTACAAGTAAATAAGTAAATATCTCATAAAAAAACTAAAAGTAAATAAAAGAAAGAAAAACACAGCAAAAGCAATTCAAAACCAAAGCAAATCATTACCTCTTCGTCAGAACTATCAAAATCACCATCTTCATCTGAATCATCATCAGAATCCTCCTCATCGTCTTTCTTAGGATCAACAACCTTGACTTGTTTTGCTGATGCAGCAACCTTGGCCTCAGGTTTTTTGGATTCAGGTACCTTCAAGTCTTCAGCCTTTTTTTCAGGTTTTCCTAACATAATATATATATGTGCTAGTTAGTCACCTACGAAGTAACATACATAGCCAGCAATAAATTTAGTATTATGAGGAAGCATATACCATTCTCCGCATTCACCAATGGAAGATCCTCATCACTATCTGTCCAATCAGATGAAATGTAAATGTTTTAGCAAACAATTCAATCCAAATATAATAAAAGGTTTAAGGTAAATGTTTTAGCCCTACCAGTAAATTCATCCTCGCTAGTGCCAGCAGAAAAAACCACAAAAAGTTAAGGAAAAATGAAAGAAAAGACGGTGAAAATATTAACATACTAGGATTTTCAGATGATCTGCCAACAAATTTCTGTCCATAGCCAACATTTTTACAAAAATAAAATAGCTCCAAAGAAACATGGGCACTGAGATATTATATTTAAAAACACAAATAAAGCGAAGTAAGAAAATTAGAATAAATAGGAATGTAAAGGATATTCATCGCCCGAGTAATAAGCCTTGTATCCACAGAAATGAACACTGGCATGTTTTGAATTGTGGGAAAGCTCAAACTCCTTTTCCAGAACCAGTTCCAGAGATATCTGAGGAATTTTATCCCTGGAAAGGGTTCCCAACACAAATTTCTGCTCCCCAACTTTCACATAGATAACAACAGGTTCATTTGGTTTGTCTTTCTTTGCCTCACCAAGAGCAGCCTACACATCAACATGTCAAATACCGTATCCACGCAAACAAAAACAAACAATAAAAAAACATAACAGACCAACAAAACCCTAACCTGAGAAAGGTGAATGCATGCTTCAAATTCGGCTGGGTCTACCTTAACAGACTCCCCAACCTTAACCTCAGCACCTAAATCAATAAGCAAGGTATTAGATGACGCTGCATAAAACCCTAATACATGCGTATACACTATTAGACCTCACTGATCACTACTTTGAAAACACATAAAGAAGAAACATGGTGAAAGGTAGAGACGAGTGCAAGGGGAAAGCATGCGATTACCGTTCAGAGAATAAAATAAGAAGAGAGTAGGGAAGGAGGTTATTACCCCAAAACTCCATTGGAAGAATAGAAAGAGAGAAAGAAGCGCGTTAGGGTTTTGGGAGCAGCGAAAGCAGAGAGTGGCTAATGAGAGAGGAAGAGGGTTTGAGGGGGTTTTACAGTATTTATAGTAGCGGATGAGTGGGAAAAATCTTCGGATTTTGGATTTGCTAACTAGGGTTTTCTTAACTCACCGCTTCTTTTTTTTACCCTCTCTCTCTCTCTCTCAGTAATTTCTACTGTTCTGTTTCTTTCGTGCTACACTTTTGGGCCTTTGGGCCGTTTATATTTGTATACGCTATACTCACGCTACAATTTGGGCCTACTATTGTTTCAGCTATACATCGGTTGTGTTTGAGCCTTTGTCAGCGAAGTCTTACTCTTACCTATTTTTCGGTTTGTGTACCGAAGGGTAAGATGGTATAATTATATACTAATTTAATTAAAATATACTCATAATTACAAATATGTTTATACCATTATTTGATAACATAATACATTCACAATAAATCTGTTGGCTTTTATAGTTATTTTAAAAATTTTAGTCAATATAAATTTTTTTATTAATTAACCATCTAAAAATGTTTAAAGCATGAAAATTAAAATCAATTAAAATTTAATTAAATATACCCACAATGTAAAAAGAACTCCCTTTGTATTTATATATATAAATAAAAAATACTTAAAAGTTTTTATTTGAAATATGAGCAAATTTTAATCAACTCATCTTTATTTAATATTTTTAATAAAATATATTTATTATAATAAATAAGAGCATTATCTATCATAAATGTAATTAAAAATATTTTAAAAAATATAATATGTTTTTTTAATATAAAATTATAAAAATTAAATATATTTAATTTTTATAATTTTATATTAAAAAAACATATTATATTTTTTAAAATATTTTTAATTACATTTATGATAGATAATGCTCTTATTTATTATAATAAATAAGAGCATTATCTATCATAAATGTAATTAAAAATATTTTAAAAAATATAATATGTTTTTTTAATATAAAATTATAAAAATTAAATATATTTAATTTTTATAATTTTATATTAAAAAAACATATTATATTTTTTAAAATATTTTTAATTACATTTATGATAGATAATGCTCTTATTTATTATAATAAATAAGAGCATTATCTATCATAAATGTAATTAAAAATATTTTAAAAAATATAATATGTTTTTTTAATATAAAATTATAAAAATTAAATATATTTAATTTTTATAATTTTATATTAAAAAAACATATTATATTTTTTAAAATATTTTTAATTACATTTATGATAGATAATGCTCTTATTTATTATAATAAATAAGAGCATTATCTATCATAAATGTAATTAAAAATATTTTAAAAAATATAATATGTTTTTTTAATATAAAATTATAAAAATTAAATATATTTAATTTTTATAATTTTATATTAAAAAAACATATTATATTTTTTAAAATATTTTTAATTACATTTATGATAGATAATGCTCTTATTTATTATAATAAATAAGAGCATTATCTATCATAAATGTAATTAAAAATATTTTAAAAAATATAATATGTTTTTTTAATATAAAATTATAAAAATTAAATATATTTAATTAATTTTCTTAATCTAATTTTAATAAATTCTGGTCCAGCTTAATAAGCACAGTGAATTTAATAGATTGAATTTTAGTTGATAGTTAATAAAGTCTAATCCCAATTTTTAAAATAATTGGAAATTATTTATATTATTATTTTAACTTGTGTAATATAGAAGTTAAATGTTTATTATATATAAATAAATATTATATTTAAATATATAAATTTTAAATTTAGATAAATACATATTTTACATATATAAATTATATTTTAGATTTATGATAAATAATTTATATTGTAGTACAACATCATTTTTATTTACTGATAATTTATTTTAAAAATATCAAAATATAATTCATTAATAATTATGATAAAAATAAAAATTAAATTAAAATAAAATATTGAAAAAAATTCTTAAAAATCTCTCCGTTGAAAAAATAATTAAAATATTTTTTGTGCGAGATTGTGATTCTTGTTTAATATATAAATAAAGCTGGATGGTTGATTAAGAATTTAAATATCATGGCACATGAGTTATTGGTTGCTTCGCTAACTTGTATAATTAATTAGACAGCCAAGTAACATAACACGGTTTTTCAATTAGAAAATTTTAGAAATTTATTTATTGCCAAAATGTGATAGGATTAAAACAAAACATAATAAGAAAAAGCACGAAAATTAGGTTAAAAAAACTGCTCTTTTAAAGCAGTGTTGAATGAGAACTATTGAGAGACATTATTGAAAATGGAATAAAAGCAACAAGGTTGTCAAGGTTATACAGCTGTGGGCCTGTGTGGTGCACTTTTCTATCATGGTTGTTACTTTGTTACTGAGCATTACCAATCAAAAAATTGATAGTGTATTAAAAGAGTTTGTGCAATGTCATGTCCAATCCAAGTAGTCTTTTTGTGATAAATTGTGAAACGATTGTAAGTTGTGAGAAATTGTCTCTTTGGATTAATTGTTATCCACTGCTTGAACTCTTTTCCACGGAAAGAAAAAAAGGGATTTGAGTGAAAAAACTTTTCATAGCCAATGATGATAAGAAGAGCCTCTTTTCGTGCAAGCAATTATTTTAATTTATTCAGTCCTACACCCTTCATATTAAAGATGTGACATGTTACTTGACTAATTTACCATCCATCTCGATCAACAATTCATCACCAACCTCCAATGCCATAAAGTTAATCAAATATATTTTTGCCTAAAATTTAGAACTTCTTATGAAAAAACTTTTTATTGGTATTCATTGAACTTTTCTTCTCCCTTGTATTAAGGTTAACCATTTTGGTTCAGCCTCACAATTTTATTTTTGAATATCACCTAAAAGTCTCTTAATTAATGGAGACAATTATGTGTATATAAATTCATGTTCATTCTCTTATTTAAATGATGTGAGACTTTACTTGCATCCCAATAAACCTTATATACACTCAAGCTATTAACATTTTTAATTTTGATAATATTTTTAATTGCAAGAAAAGAATAATTAAAACTTAACAATAGACATTACGTCAAGTTTAAAACCAAGCATAGAGATTTTGTAGTTAGATGATGAATTCAAATATAAGATAATTTTAATAAATAAAAAAATTAATATAAAAATATCAATTTAAAATAATATTTATCACATCATCATAATATAAATGATGTTAATAAAAAAACAAATGATGAGAGTGAAAGGGAAAGAACTTGATATAAGAATTAAAAAAATATATTTTAAACTATATAAATTAAAAAAAAAGTGAAATTAATGGAAGAAAAAACAAAACCGTAAAAAAATATATTTTATAAAAGTTGTATCATAAATGTCACATCAAAATAATCTTTATTACACCAGCACAACACAAACGATATTTTAATAAAAAAATAAAGAACATGAATTAAAAGGAAAATAAATATATATATATATATATATATATATATAAGGCTAAAGAGAATATTTTAAATTAAAAAATAAAAAGAATTGTAGAAAAAAAAAACCTTTATTTTTTATTCAGAGTGATATTCAATATCAGAAAATTGGTAACTCACACAACAAAGTGATACACCCTGATTAATGTCGTGTAATTTGTTTACATGACAAATTATTCTAATGCAAAACATATAAATAGCATATTTGTTAATTTATTTTGTCAATGTTCACGTTTCGTCAAATATTCGCAACCCAATAATGTTGAATAAAAACACATTCATTTGCGCGTACTCTTGACATGTTCATCGCCATTGATGTACGGTCTTCACATTTTAATAAGTTTTCATAATTTGTTTCATGAAATAATATTGTGATTTTGGTAATTATATTTTAAAGAATAATATAATTAAGAATGTTATTTTTGGAAGCGTTTTAAAATACTTTTAATTAAATTTAAACATTCATAAAAATATTTTACTATCTATTATAATTAAAACAAAAAATCTAACTTAAACTGATAATTATAGATGAATTAGATAATAACTAGTCAAATTCTCATGAAAATATAACTTTCTTATCTCTTATCATGAAATCTAAAATGACTTAATTAAATAATAATCTAACTGCTTTTCTGAAATGAACAATACTCATACATATTTTTTTAAATTGGTAACAAACAAGAAAATTATACATTTTTAGGAATAGTTTTTTAATTTATGAAACAAACTCACTCTATATATTTTTAATTTAGAAAATAATATTAAATTAGTGCCATGGTTAATAATTTACATACTTATTTTACAAAACAAAATCCACATGAGTTTAACTTTTATATACATTTTTTTATAGAGTTAATTATTTATACACTGCCAGTATAAATTTTTTTTTATACTGCAATCAATTATATCTTTTAATTGTGTCATGTCACTATAAACACATTTACTTTTAATAATGACATGACACAATTAAAAGATATAATTAGTTGTCAGTGAAAAAATTTTACACTTGCAGTATATAGGTGATTAACTCTTTTTTTATATAAAAAAATTAAAGTAAGTTAGATGTTAAGGACTCACCACGTTGAGAATATACCTCAAAATTCTATGAACATTTATAAAGATAGTTACTAGATACTTGTCAACAAGTTCCTCGTATAATAAAAATCTTGTCCTTTCAAGACAAAGTCTGTCCCTTAATTTTTATGTACATGTTACAAAGATGTTTACGTATATAATTTTATAATGATTTTTACTAAGATTAACAACTTAAAAATATATAGTGGAATTTTTTCATAGTTAATATGCAGTTTAATTATTAAAAAAAAAAGCTGATGATTTTTTTTATTTATGACTCTTTTCACTCTTTTTATTATTGAATAAAATTGATTAAAAATTACATTTTTTGTGACTCGTTAACTTTTCAATTTAATATCAAATATTTGTTTTCTTAATTTTTCATTTCATAAATTATTCGAATACCACAATTAAAAATAATATATTTATTTAGATTTTGAACTATTTTAGTAAAATTGTATTAAAAAGAAATGCATTTATTATGGAATGGAGGAAGTATTACAAGTATATTACTCCTGATTTTGTAAAAAGACATTTGTTTCATTTTAATATTTCTAGTGATATTTTTAATTTTGAAAATAATTTAAATAAAAAAATAGAATTAACATAAAAAATAACTTCAAGTTAATATTCTCAATCATGGAAATATCATTTTCCTGGAAATAAAAAATACCCAAATTATGTAAATAAAATAACAAGTTTTCATATTTTTGAGTGACATGATTCTTAATTAAATTAAACAGATTATTATATCTTCTTCTATTATTATTCAATATGGTAAAAGAAAAAGAAATCAGATGACTAAATTTATAGCTAGAAATTCTATATTGTTTGATTGAGAGAATATTCATAATGAAATTTTTTATTATATTCAAATAATATGATTATATTGGTGTAAAGAAAAATCCGTTAATTAAATTTACAGTGATTGAACAACTGTTAGCTAGCCCTCCCTTGAACAATTATTTGAACAAAACAAATGCATACTCCGTTAGTGAGGAAAAGGACAGATAAAGTTGATGGAAAAAAAGAAGACGGAATTAAGATTACATATAATATAGAAACAATATTTACAATGTGGCAATGAAAAGCTTTAACATTATCATGTATGTGTTTAAAAATCATACATGTAATTTTACAATATATATATTTGCTTTGCTTGCACACCAATCTCAAACGCTGTACCTACTAAGCAACCTATTTTTATAAGTAAGCGGGCATAGCATATACGCCATTCGCCGTGGCCAAACAAAGAAAAAAAGAAAGACGTTTCCATTCATAGTTTAAACAAACAACAATAACTAACCAACCAATCACATCATGAATTGCATCAGTTTGAACCACGCAAAACCGCCGCCACCGCCACCGCATCCATGGCTCGCCGCTACTCTGTCTGCCTCCTTCGCACACGAAACAAACGGCGTCGCAACGCCACCTTCAACCTTTCTCGGACACAGAAAGAAGTTCCTGGATCCAAGTTCTTTCAGCTTCTCCTCCTTATCCAAACCTAAACATATCACAAAATCACACATCTAAATAATCATAAATTAATTGCTAATTTCCGCGCACTTTCATATATATATATATATATA